AGTTCTTTTTTTACTGCTGCTACTGTTAAGAATTCTGTTTTGTTGTTATTTTTTTCTAAATTAGGAAATTGTGTTGCTTTTTATTCCTCTTTGCAGAGCATTACCATTGATGATTCATAGATTTAAAATCTTCTTTAACAAACTACTCTTCACAGATGGGCGATATAAAAGTGATTTTTGATAAAATGTTCACCAAGGTATTCTGACTGCTCAATTCTCTCTAACCCAGACTGCCAGGGCCAATTATTTTTTACCTACTGTCTGTTTGGCTGAAATCAGCCAACTCCGTACAGTTCACAGAATTTCAACCGAGGTCTTTCCTGTTTGTATGGCTGAACTAGATTAATGTTGTCCTCATACATCAAACTGTGAAAAGCTAGAGATGTGGCATTTTTCTCAATAACAGGATGTTTAGTTTTGGGAGCATTAGATAATAAAAAATTACTTTATTGATACCTGATCATAGTTAATTGTCATAATCTGTTTGCTGATTGGGCAGTGCTATAAATCAGCTGTGTCCTGTTGTTTTCCTGGTTATTTTTGTCCTTCTCTAAGTGATGATATATTACTTCACAACATATTTCAAATGAGGAGCAACCTTCGAAAAACTTGTGGTCAAATCAATATTTTTATTGCAACAGTACTTCTAGAAGTAAAGAATTTTGAGTTGTATTTTTACACAAAAATACTTGGACAGAATCAAAAGCCCTGATTCTGGGAAAAGATACATGAAGGTAACTGTCTCAAAGCAAGGCTAGGAATATAAATACAAATGTTGTCAATATACTGGGCTTGTGACTAGTTTACAGTCATAGAGTCATATAGCATGGAAACAGACTTTTTGGTCCAACTTATCCACGCTGACCAAGTTTCCCAAACTAAACTAGTCCCATTTGCCTGAGTTTGGTTCATCCCTCTAAACCTTTCCTATTCATATACCTGTCCAAATGTCTTTTGAATGTAACAGTGCCTGCATCCACCACTTCCCCTGGTAGTTCATTCCATATACAGACCACCCTCTGTGTGAAAAAAGTTGCCCGTCAGGTCCCTTCTAAATGTTTCTCCTCTCTCTTAAACCTATGTGCTCCAGTTTTGAATTCCCCTACCCTAGAGAAAAAAGCTTTTCTATTCATCATGTCTGTGCCCCTCATGATTTTATTAACCTCTGTAAAGTTGCCCCTCAGTGTCCTACGCTTCAGTGAAAGCAGTCCCAGCCTATCCAGTCTCTCCATATAACTCAAAGCCTCCAGTGTGGTAGATCCATTCTTGTAGATCTTTTCTAAGCCATCTCCAATTTAATAATTTAATAATATCCTTCCTATAGCAGGGTGAACAGAGCTATACATAGTACTCCAAAAGTGGCGTCACCAACATCCTGTACAACCTCAACATGACATCCCAACTCCGATTCTTGGTGGTATGAGCAATGAAAGCAAGCGTGTCAAACACCTTCTTCACCACTCTGTCTACCTATGGCAAAGCTTTCAAAGATCTCTAATCAACAATACTGCCCAGGGCCCTCCATTAACTGTATAAGTCCTGCCTTTGTTTGTCTTAGCAAAATACAACATCTCGCATTTATCCAACTTAAACTCCATCTGCCACTCCTTTGCCCAATTGATCAAGATCCCTTTAAAATCTTAGTTAACATTCTCCATTGTTATGAAATACTTAAGTCTGATGGATAAATGTTTACTCCTGATTGAAAAGGCATCTTTATAAATGAGCACAATACTAATTGAGGAATGGCTGTCATTTTGATCTGCCTATTATAATTTAAACGTCTATCAATGAAGAAAACTATTCCCTCATGACGTATTTTGCTCCATGACACCATCCTTGAATAAAATTCAAGTTTTCTGGCAATATTAACATCACAATTTCTTTGAATCTCAATTTGTGTGCCGGTTTACCCATTGAAGTTAGATTGTATAGAAACTCCAGCTGGTATGGAATGTTGTCGACATCTACAGAATCAATGCCAGCGTACTCTTTGTGACAAAATCATTTTTGAAAACATTTCTCAGATGTAGTTGATCTTAATTCTTATTGCGAAACATAGCTTTTGAATAATAACTTGAATCAAATCATTCAGCCAGAAGTGTCATGTGGATGATTCATCTCAGTATCCTCCAGATGATAGTAATCACCAAATTCTATTCACTCTACATGATTTTAAGAAACAGTTGGAGACTCTGGATACTACAAAGGCTATGTGCCCTGACAACATTCTGGAAATAGTGCTGAAGACATACTCCAAAACTTGCTGCACCCCTTGCTCAGCTGCTCCTTGCAACTAGCATCTACCCAATGAAGTGGAACATTGCCAGGTATGTCCTCTAGACAAAGAGCAGGAAAAATCCATCTGGCCAATGGCCATTCCATCAACCTACTCTGAATCAGTTCAGTAAAGTGATGAATGGTGTCATTAACAGTGCTATCAAGCAGCACCTGTTTAGCAATAACCTGCTCAGTTTGGGTTCTGCTAAGGCCACTCAGCTCCTGAGCTCATTACTGCCTCAAACATGGACAGAAGAGCTGTGAGAATGTCAGCCCTTGACATCAAGGCCGCACTTGGCTGATGGGCATCGCGGAGTCCCAGCAAAACTTGAATCAATGGGATTTGGGGAAAACTTGTCAATGTTTGGAGTCATATCTGGCACGTAGGAATATGGTTATGGTTGTTGGAGGTCAGTCATCTCAGCTCTTTGGCCCAACAATCTTCAACTGCTTCCTCAATGATCTTCACTCCATCGTAAGGTCAGAATGGTCGTGTATGATTGCACAATGTTCACCACTATTCACAGCTCCCCGGATTCTGAAGCTGTCCATGGCCAAATACAATATGATCTCGACAATATTCAGACTTAGACTGAAAAGTGGAAAGTAACATTTGCACTACATGAATGCCAGCCAATGACCATCTCCAATAAGACACAATCTAACGATTGCCCTGTGACATTCAATGTCAACATCTTCGGCCTTACCGTTGGCCAGAAGCTGAACTGGACTCACCATATGAATAAAGTGGCCACAGAAGCAGGTCAGAGGATAGGAATGCTCAACAATGCCTATCCACCATCTGCAAAGCACAAGTCAGAAGTGTGATGGAATGTTCCTCACTTATCTAGATAACGAGACTGAAGAAGCTTGACAGAACTGCCCGCTTGATTGGCCGCCCATCCATAAGCTTTCAGTCACTCCACCACAGACACTCAGTAGCAGCAGTGTGTACCATCCACGTGATGCACTGCCGAAATTCACCAAAGATCCTTAGACAGTACTTTCCAAACCCATGACCGCTACCGTATAGAAGGACAAGAGCAGCAGATACATTGGAATACCACCACTTGCAAGTTCCCCTCCAAGCCACTCACCATGTTGACTTGGAAGCCTGTAACTGTTCCTTCAGTGTCACTGGGTCAGGATCCTGGAATTCCTTCCCTAAAGGCAACGTGGATCAACCTACAAGACTGCAGAGGTTCAAGAAAGCAACCCATTACTACCTTCTCAAGGGCAGCTGGGGATGGGCAATAAATGCAGATTGAGCCAGCGACACTATTTTCCATGTATGAATTAAATTCAAATTGCCCTGCTATTTTGTCACACTGGACCAATTCCACCATCTCATTCATCTGTCCCATGCCATTCCATTCAATAATCTCAGCCTGTTGTTCATGGGAAGCATCTCTTAACCACAGAGTATCTTTTTGTTGAGCTCTCCTTACCTTCCACTTGTTGTTTTCATCAACTCCCATATCCTGTCACTGGATAACAACTGATGGTGGAGGGCTTTTGAGGCTGGGTCATTAAGTTTTTTCAAGGCTGAAGTAGATAGATTTTACATCGGGAAAGGAATCATGGGTTACGACGCAAAGGAAGGAAAGTGGAATTGAAAATTATCAAATGAGCCGTGATCTCATTGAATGATGGAATAAATTCAGTGGGCTGAATGGCCTACTTCTGCGCCTGTGGTCTTACAGCTGTTGCTTGCTCTTGGCTGTGCCCACCTACAGATAAACCATTAAGCAAACCAATCTAAACAATTTGGGCAGACGGAAACTTATTGTTATAGATGTTCTGTCCACATGTTTATATTTATATTCTTCCATTCTGGCTTTCTTTTCAAACTCTTTATGAAAACTGCGTGTTGTTTTTTTGTCCGCTGCCCTCTTGCCTGGAGAACACCACTGCTGTTCACTGCGTCTGATTACAACATAGAGTTCGCTTCATTTTCAATGCAAATGTGGGTACACTGTACAAGAAATTATGATGAAAGAAGTTGACAGATGAGTTCAGTTGTAAGATTTTTAATATAGTGTAGACAGTATTCATATATTGTAGAAAACAATTGAGAAGAACTTAATGGTTATCATGTATATCTGACACTCCAAACATGGTACTTTTACTCTCTGTGCATGATTGCTACAGAATTACTATTTATTTATAAAAATGATGACTTACAAACAAGCGATGCCACTTTAAGTTTTAATTGTAAACCGCATTGCTTGACAACTGGGAAAAGCTTGCCCAAAACTTGAGGTCTGATTGATTTCTGGTTGACTGTGGCTGTAAAATCTGGGATTAATATGGCAGTACAGGAACCTACACATTCTAGGCCTTGTATGTTGTGGCTAATTTAAAAAGCTCACTCTTGCGAAGCTAAAATAAGCAACCAAGATGGTTTCTCTGTCTTTTTTGTCAATGCAGCTGTGATTTGTACAATATCGAATGCTTGAATGTTCTTTTCTGTCCTGTTTGTTAAATATTTTGTGTTTAATGCATAAGGATTTTACCTGTTCTTTGTCACAAACAAAAAAATTTTGTACTCCAAGATTAATTGTATGCTATAGAATGTAACAAAATAATTAAGGTAATTTTATTTACTAAGACTTTGGAATAGCGTACTTTTAATTGAAATATGAAACTTTGTTAATTATCACTGTTAAACCTAGACAATTCAGCCATTAATTAGTGACTCTCTGCGCTCAATTTTGCAGATTCCGGAATTTGACAATCTCTATCTGGATATGAATGGAATTATTCATCAATGTTCTCACCCAAATGATGAAGATGTGCACTTTCGAATCTCTGAAGAAAAAATTATCGCTGATATTTTCCACTATGTGGAAGTATTATTTCGCATCATCAAACCAAAGAAGGTCTTCTTCATGGCAGTTGATGGTGTGGCTCCAAGAGCAAAAATGAATCAACAACGTGGCAGACGTTTTAGGTAAGAAATTGTTTTGTGGGCAGTTCAAAATGGTCAAAGCACTTGTGAGATGCTTTGCACATTTATTTCCGAAGTAGCTGAGTCACAAAACCCAAGAAGATTCAGTCAGTTAGTTTGCCATTAATGGGCAAGTCATTAACCCTGGGCGAAGGAATGAACACATATCTGGAGTTGTTCCTCCCAGTGGCCACTGCTGCAGTGTACTTCTGTGCGCACTGAGGACGAGAATTGAACTCAGCTTTGCCTCCTGTGATCTCTCAGACTGCCAACATTTGGTGTATCAGATCCCATGTAAATTTTGGGATTGGCAAAATAAACCAAAGAACTGTGGATGCTGGAAATCAGAAACAAAAACAGAAATTGCTGGCAAAACGCAGCAGGTCTGGCAGTATCTGTGGAGGGAGATCAGAGTTAACACTTCGGGTCCAGTGACCCTCCTTCAGAACTGATGCCACTTTGTAAGGCAGTAATTAACAAAGTTTGGAAAGGAATAAGTCCGAGAAAAATATGCAAAAACAAAATGCAGGTGTTGGATATCCAAAATGAAGATACTGGAAATAATCAGTCAGGAAGCATCTATGCAGAGAGAAATATGATTAACATTTCAGACTGAGTTTTCATCTGAACGGCTTGGCAGGGGATTGAGCAATACTGATACCACTGAATGAAATGGTTAGATTTTCTCTTTGTTGGTTGTTGCAATGCACATGTGTAGCATGAATGCCACTTGCTACTTATCATCCCAAGCTTGGATCTTGTTTCAGCTCTTGAGGAACTGAAACTGTGCTGAACCTTGTGCAGTCATAATTTACCTGTTGTTCCGAAGGGAAGGTCATTAATAAAGGAAATGCAGATGGCTGGGCATAGAACACTACCCTGAGAAACTTTGGCAGCAATGTGCTGGGGTTGAGCTGATTGGTTGTGGGAAGCCATCTTCCTTTGTGGTATGTGTGACTCTAATGAGTGAAGAGTTTTCCCTTTGAATCCAATCAATTTTGATGTCACTAGGGTTTGTTGACATTACATTCTGTAAAGGGCTGTTGCTTTCAAGTCAGGAATTCAGCTGTTTTTCCCCATGTTCAGAATAAGGCTGCAGGATAGAGGTTGAGTGGCCTTTGGGGAATACAAACAGTTGAAATGTTATGAAGTTCTGTGGGTTTTGCTGTATTCGCTGACTTTAGCCTTTACTTTAAATCACATTGAGTGAATTAAATTGTCTGAAACAGACATCTGTGGGGTGAGGGCCTCAGGATGAGCCTGAGGTGGACTGTTCACTCAGTGCTTCTTGAGGATGGTGACAAATGCTTCAACCTTGTCTTTTGCATTGATGTGCTGAGCTCTCCCATTGTTGACTATGGGAATATATTTGGAGCCTCCTCCTATGGTTTGTTGTTTAGTTATCCATGCCGTTCGTGACTTGATGTGGTAGAACTCTCCAGCTTTGGTTTAAATCGTTAGTTGTGGGGTGGTAATTGCCAGCAATCGCCTAGCTTATGAGTATGATTGTCTGCCTAAGAAATTCTGTGTCACTGCTCATGGGTTCTGTGGCTGATGAGCCTGATCCTAGCGCAACATCCCCTATCAAACGTTTGGCAAGTGTTTCCAGGAGGTGGAATTAGTCCTTGGCCTCACGGTTGCTGGCATTCCATTCTCTAGTTCCTTTACCATAATTCCTCTTGTTGATGGATGTTCTCAAAGAATTGTGTCCCTCCAACTTGGTTTCTTCTGAACAATGGTTTCCAGGTATTGATCTCTAAGTTACGTTTCTTGCAATAAAACTTCAGGGAATCCTTGAAGATCTTCCATTGGCCTTCTCTCGGTCGAGTGCCTTCCATGGACTGGGCGAAGAAGATCTGCTCTGGCAGTCTGAACTCGGCATCCAAAGCATGTAGCCGGCCAATGGAGTTGGTTATGCGTGATTATGACCTTTGCTGGTGCTATCGGCTCCTTCAGGGATGCTGATGTTAGCGTGCCTGTCCTCCCAGCTAATGCAGAAAATCTGTCTCAGACTGCATTGATGGTACTTCTCCAGTGCCTTGAGGTAGCATCTATATGTTGTCCAAGTTTTGGACCCATATGGTAGAGTTGGAAGCATGATTGACTATATGCAAGGTTCATGGTATCAGCACAAATGTCCCGGTCATTGAAGACACCCAGCCTTGGGCAACTGAAAGTGGCATTCATGGATTGGATATCATGCTGGATCTCCACGTCAATTTCAGCCTTAGATGAGAGGGGACTCCCCAGTTGGGGGAAATTTTCCACGTTTGGAAAGATTTCTCTGTTGATCTTAATGGAGGGAGAGACTGTAACTTGGCCTGGGAGGGTTTGGTAAAGGATTGTTTTCTTGAGGTTGAGGCTGAGACAAATTCTTCAGTGTACTTCCACGAAAGTGTTAAATCAGGCTTGAAGATTCTCCTTTGAGACTGTGGAGATGACATTGTCATCCATATACTGGAGTTCCATGAGTGATGTCAATGTCATTTTCTTCTTGCATTTCAACTGGTTGAGGTTGAAAAGTTTTTCATCCATCTTGGAGACACCACATCACTGAGAAACTCATTGTTGACAAGATGAAGAATGGACTGCAACGATTCAAGAAGGCAGCTCCCCATCACCATCTCAAGGATTAGAAATGGGCAATAAATGCTGGCCTAAACAGCATCACCCACATCCCATGAACGGATAAAAACTCCGTTTTGGATGGGACAGTGGGACAAACACTATTGGATTTAGTCATGAGCAATGAGCCTGATTTAATTAGTGACCTGGTTGTTCGTGAGCATTTGACAAACAGCGATCATAATATGATCGCATTTCATGTAGTGTCTAAGAAATAAGCAAAGATCAGATACTAGAATTTTGGAATTAAGTAAGGCAAGCTTTAATGGGTGGATATCTAACTACGACGAGTCAAAATACAGAAGGGAGTTAGAGGGCTTGGTGACTTGGTGCAGTGAAAACAATCTGTCTCTCAACGTCAGCAAAACTAAAGAAATGATCGTCGACTTCAGAAAGACCAGAGGAGAACACGTCCCCATCTACATCAACGGAACTGAGGTTGAAAGAGTGAAGAGCATCAAGTTCCTCGGAGTGACGATAACCGACAACCTGTCTTGGACTTGCCATGTAAATGCGACAGTCAAGAAGGCACAGCAACACCTCTTCTTCCTCAGGCTGCTCAGGAAGTTTAGCATGTCCATAAGGTCCCTCACCAACTTCTACAGATGGACCATTGAAAGCGCCCTGTCCGGGTGCATAATGGCCTGGTATGGCAACTGCTCTGCCCAGAACCGTAAGAAACTACAGAAGGTGGTGTGCACAGCCCCGACCATCACGGAAGCCAACCTTCCATCCATGGACTCCATTTACATGGCTCGCTGCCGCGGAAAGGTGGCCATCATCATCAAAGACCCATTGCACCCTGGTAATGATCTCCTACAGCCTCTTCTATCAGGCAGAAGATACAGAAGCCTGAACACACGCACGGGCAGGTTCAGAAACAGCTTCTTCCGGCCTTTATCAGACTGTTGAATGGACTGTAGCCTCAAATAATGTAACTTGTATGCCTCTTAGTCTTTTTGATCTGTACACCCTTTACTCGCTGTGATCTGCCTGTACTACTCGTAAACAAAGCTTTTCACTGTATTTCAATACATGTGACAATAAAATTCATCAATCAATAATGGGATGAAGCAGAGACTGTTGACAGTAAACTGGAAAGCATTGTTAATAGGCAAAACAACTCGGGAACATTCAGAGATAGCAAGCACTGCAGATGCTGGAGTCAGAGACAGCATGGTGTGCAGCTGGAGGAACACAGCAGGTCAGGCAGCATCAGAGGAGCAGGAAAGTTGACGTTTTGGGTCAGGATCCTTCATCAGAACTAGGGAGGGGGAAGGGAGCTGGGAAATAAATAGAGGGAGGAGGGGTGGACTTGGGGAAGGTAAGTGGGATGGTGATAGGTGGATGCAGGTAGGGGGTAGTAGGGATTGGTCAGTGAAGAGTGGAGCGGATAGGTGGGGAGGATGGACAGGTTGTGTCAGATCAAAGAGGGAAGAGGGAGGATGGGTGGGGCTGGGGAAAGGTAGGTGGGATGGTGATAGATGGATACAGGTCCCTCTCCCCCTGTTACACCAGCACCATCCCTTACCTCTTCCTCCGCTACATTGATGACTGTATTGGTGCAGCCTCATACTCTCATGAGGAGTTTGAACAGTTCATCAACTTTACCAACACCTTTCACCCCCAACCTCAAATTCACCTGGACCATTTCCAATACCTCCCTGCCCTTCCTGGATCTCTCTGTCTCCATCTCTGTTAACTGTCTCCACACTGATGTCTATTTCAAACCCACCAACTGCCACAGCTACCTTGACTACACCTCCTCTCACCCACTCACCAGCAAGAATGTAATCCCTTACTCCTAATTCCTCCGCCACTGCCGCATCCGCTCCCAAGATGGAGTGGTCCACTCCTGGACATCCCAGATGTCCTCCATTTCAAGGACTGCAACATCCCCCCCAACTCCGGTGATCAAAAATGCCCTCAATGGCATCTCTTGCATTTCCTGTACTTATTCCCTCAAGGCCCCTCACCACCACAAAAATAATAGCAGAATCCCCCTGGTCCTCACATACCACCCCACCAACCTCTGCATCCACCATATCATCCTCCACCACTTCCACCACCTGCAATTCGACCCCACGACCAAAGAGATATTTCCTTTCCTCCCCTATTTGCCTTTCATAGGGACCACTCTTTCCATGACTCCCTCGTCTGCTTCACACTCCCCACCACACCGGGCACCTTTCCTTGCAACCACCTGCCCCTACACCTTCCTCTCACCTCCACCTGAGGCCCAAGACAACCTTTCCATATCCAACAGGGGTTCATCTGTACATACTCCAACCTGGTCTGTATCCACTGCTCCTGATGTGGTCTCTTCTACATCAGTGAGACCAAGCACAGACTTGGTGACAGATACATAGAGCATCTGCTCTCTGTACACAGTAATCCTTCCGGTTGCCAACCACTTTAACTCCCCTCCCACTCTCTGGGTGACATGTCCATCCTTGGCCTCCTCCAGTGTCACAATGACACCACTTGCAAACTGGAAGAGCAGCACTTCATATTCCACTTTGGGAGCCTATAGCCCAATGGCCTGAGCCTAGAATTCACCAGTTTTAATATCTTCCCGTCCCTGGCATCATCCCATGACCAACCCTCCCTCTCATCCCTGCCTCCTTGACCTGACACAACCTGCCCATCGTCTTTCCCACCTATCCGCACCTCTTACCTCACTGACCAATCCTCACCACTGCCTACCTTCCCCAGCCCCCCATCCCCTCTCTATTTATTTCCCCCTCCCCCCCCCCCCCCACCCACCATTTCTGGAGAAGGGTCCTGACCCAGAACATTGACTTTCCTGCTCCTCTGCTGCCTGGCCTGCTGTGTTCCTCCAGCTCCACGTTGTGTTAACTCAGGAACATTTAATGCTATTCAAAGGCAGTTGGTACCCATGAGAAGGAAAAGCTTAACCTCACAAAAAAGCAGCTGTGGGCATCTGAGCAGGTCTGGGACAGCATAAAATTAAAAGAAAGGGATAATAAAAATGCAAAGAACGGTACCAAACCTACAGAATGGGACAAATACAAAGACCAGCAAAGGGCGACAGAGCGAGAGCAGCTAAAAGGGATTATAAAGGAAAATTTGAAAGGCACATAAAAGACAATGCAAAGAGATTTTATAGATAAGGGAAAGCAGCTGGTTAAGAGTATTCCTGGCCCACTGAAGGCTGACTGTGGGGATATTGGCAGTCACCATGGGGACATGGCAGACATACTGAAAAATTATTTTGCTTCAGTACTCATAGCAGAAAAAGAGGATAGCTTGCCAGAAGTTCCAAAAGAATTAACAGAAGATTGGGTCAAGGTCGAAATAAAATTAGTTGAAGTAAATCATCAGTAATGGGGAAATTAATGGAAGTGAGAGTTACAAATCCCCATGGCCTGATGGTTTCTAGCCACAGGTATTAAAGGATGTAAGAGCGCCCATTGGCCATGTCCTGACCATAACCTTCCAAAGCTTCCTGGATTTAGGAGCTGTACCTCTGGATTGGAAATGTGCTCATGTCACTCTGCCCTTTAAGAAGGGTGACAGATGAAAACCAGGGAATGAAGGACCAGTTAGCCTGACATCTGTGGCAGGGGATTTGTTGGAGTCTATAATCAAGGACAGGGTAACTGATCACCTCAAATAATTTCAACCAATCAGGGAGAGTCAGCATAAATTCAGGAAGGGTAGGCCATGCGTGACAAACCTGAGTTTTTTTTGAAAAGGTGACCATGGTGGTGCACAGAGGCAAGTTGATGGATGCTGTTTCCAGAAGGCTTCTGATAAAGCCCCACACAAAAGACTGTTAGCTAAGGTGGAAGCCCAAAGAATTGACAGCACATTACGTCATGGATAGGAAGTTGGCCAAGTGACAGGAAACAGAGTTGGAATAATAGGTAAATACTCAAATTGACAGGATATTATTAGTGGTGCCCCACAGGGTCTGTGTTGGGGCATCAATTATTCACAATATTCATTGATGACTTGATAATAACATAAAAAGTCAGTATTCAAATTTGCTGACAATGTTGATGACAGCATAAAATAACAACAGTTTATTGATAGATTAGGTGAATGGGCAAAGCTGTGGCAGATGGATTTTAATAAAAAACAAGTGTGAGGTTATCCATTTTGGTCCAAAAAAGGATAAAGTCTGAACTTATGTGACCAAGTTATAGTCCAGAAGATTTATTTGGAATCACATGCTTTCAAAGCGCTGCCCCAAAGTCCTGGTGAAGGGATATGGCTTTAAAAGCTTATGATGCCAAATAAATCCTTTGGATTATAACCTGGTGTCATGTGACTTGTGATCTTGTCCACCCCAGTCCAACACTGGCACCTCCACATCACAAAGGATGGATCAGGTGTTTTTTTAGTCACAAAGTTAAATATGTTGAATATCCAACAAGATTTGGGGACTTAGATATATAACTCTTTAAAATGCTATGAACAAGTGCAGAAAATAGTCAAGGCTAATGGAATGCTGGCCTTCATATCTAAAGGGCTGGAGTAGAAGGAGGCAGACATTATGCTGCAGTTATACAAAACCCCAGTTAGACCCCACTTAGAGTACTTTGAGCAGTTCTGCCCACCACACCTTCGGAAGGATGTTTTTGCCCTGGAGGGAGTTGAACAAGGTTTATGATGTTACCTGGGATTAGATTATGGGGAGAGATTAGACAAATTAGGCATTTATTCTCCAGAATTTAGCAGATTAAGGGTTGATCTAATCAAGGTCTTCAAGATATTAACAGGGAAAGACTGGGTAGGTAAAGATAAGCTATTTCCACTGGTTGGGGATTGTAGAACCAGGGACATAGACTAAGATTTAGGGCCAGGCCATTCAGGAGAAATGTTAGAAAGCACTTCTACACAAAAAGAGCAGTAGAGGTTTGGAACTCTCTTGTCAAACAGCAGTCAATGCTCATTCAATTGTTAAATATAATTTTGAGATAGGCAAGTTTTTATTAAGGCTCTAGTTAGATAGTTGTGTGAGTAGTATGTTTTAAACGTGGAGGTTTTTTATTCGTTCATGGGATGTGGGTGTCTGTAGTTGTGATGGCGTTATTGTAGATCCCTAATCAGCCGTGAGAAGGTGATGATGAGCTGCCTTCTTGAACCACTGCAGTCCGTTTGGTATACACCCACACATTGCCATTCAGGAGGGTTGTATTAGGATGCGAAGATACCGGCTAAGGAAATAACGTGGAGAAAAGTTATTGGACTACGCCATTCTGGGAAGAAAATTCCTGTATAATGGGTACAGTAGAAGGGGATTATAAGGTATGATTTAGGCTTAGCTGCAATCATGATTGTGGACTTGGAGCTGACACTATGTTGTTTGGATTGTGCAGTGCTGCCAATATGAATGTGCCTACAGGTATCAGCCTCCCATCACCCCTGCTCTCTCGACAAGAGGGACCTAGCAACTGCTGTCAATTTACTAATGTTGTGTAGTGTTTTTGCTGTGCATGGGATAGAGAGCAAGGAGTAAAGCTTCCTGCCTATCACTGAGTTAACCAGGTTTGAAATTAGGAAATACATCACGTGAAAAATTATTTTTGACACCTTGTGTATGGATGCATGCTAGCCATATAATCACCTACCTCCTTTGTAATTCATTCTCTGTCCATGATAATTATTGGAGGAGGGGGAAGCATGCTTTCACTATGCTTAGTCTCGCCACACTCCGCCCCCAATTCATTTATGAGTAAGTCTGTTTTCTGCTCTATACTACTCATGCATTGTAACAATGTTCTTAAATCTAGATCAGCAAAAGAAGCAGAAGAGAAAATTAAAAAAGCATTAGAGAAAGGAGAAATCCTTCCAACGGAAGCCAGATTTGACTCCAACTGTATCACCCCAGGTAATGCTCAATTATAATTACTTCTTCTTCAGAGTAAATGCATTTATTATGGATTATAACATATTGCACAGGGAAATACAGAGATATAGATTTATTTCCCATAAGTCATAGTTTTCCACAATTTGAATATTTATTATCTGTATTGTGGAAATTTGGCAAGTTCTTCATTTTTGCAATGGTCAAGATAATTTACTCATGGAACATGGGCATCTCTGGCTGGATCAGCATTTATTGCCCATCCCTATTTGCCCAACTGACAGTTCAGAGTCAACCACATTGCTGTGGGTCAGGAGTTGCAGGTAGGCCAGACCAGGTAAGGATAGCAATTTCCTTCCCTAAAGGACACAGTCAATCAGATAGGTGTTTACAACAATCGACAATGGCTTCATGGTCATTAGATCCTTAATTCAAGATTTTTTTATAGAATTCAAATTCTACCATCTGCCATGGTGGATTTGAACCCGGGTCCCTAGAACATTAGCTGAGTTTCTGGATTAATAGCCTAGTGATAATACCATTAGGCCATGGCCTATTTTATTGGATTAATTTCCCCAATTGCATTGAGTTTCTGATTTCATCTGACACAATGATCAGGATAGGGAGGTTACCTTGTCCTTTCTAACTTTTAGATATAGGAAGATAAGCGTTGGTCAGTTTTTCCTGGACTAAACAGAATAGAATAGCCTTCATTCTCACATATACTCTGCGAGTATAGTGAAAAGTTTATACATTGCCAATTCTGGTACCAATCATTGAAAATTTTGAGCTTGAATTGAAGCTTTCTTTCATATAATACTCTACCAGCCTAATGTCAAATCTCACTTATACATAAAGAAACTTTGAAAAGGTGCTAGTGAACCGTGAATACATAAGCAATTGTTTCTGTATGAGTTGATGCAATGCTTTTTATTTGGCCTGTTGATTTTTAAGTAGTTATTTTGTAACAACATGCAACAAAAGTTCTGATGTCTTCTAAATGTTCCCTAAATGTTCCATGTGCTTTGGGAAAACATGATTGTATTAACAGCTTTAAACAAATATGTAACATTGTAATTTCCAACAAGGGACTGAAGTGGCCAGAACGTTTATCAAAAGTTATTGCATTCAGATAGTTAGAGATTTTGGAACTGTGAAACAAATTGATTCTGGGTTTGCATTAAAACAGGAACATTCTGGAAATACTTGACAATACTGGCAGCATGTGTGGTGTCAGAAATGGAGTTAATGTTTCTTTTCATTGATTCTTCATTCAGAGAGGGTGAGAGCATCTTTGGCTAGGCCAGCATTTATTGTCCATCCTTAATTGCCCCGAGGGCAGTTCAGAGTCTTCCACATTTCAGTGGCCTGGAGTCACATATAGGCCACACCAAGTAATGTTATCAGTTTCCTTCCTGAAAGGACGTTAATGAACCAGATAGGTTTTTTCAACAATCAATGATGTCATCATTAGACTCTTATTTCCTGATTTTCTTTTATTGAATTCAAGTTCCCATTTGCCATGGTAGGTTTCAAACCTAGGTCCCCAGAACATTAGAGATAACAAGGTGTAGAGCTGGTTGAACACAGCAGGCCAAGCAGCATCAGAGGAGCAGGAAGGCTGACGTTTCGGGCCT